GAGAGAGAGAGAGAGAGAGAGAGAGAGAGAGAGAGAGAGAGAGATTGAGATTCTCACAGCCCTGGGACCTTCAAATGAACCCGTTTCTGTGGAGCGGTGGGAACAAACCTCACTAAAGGCGGTGGGAACAAACCTCACTAAAGCTAGGTTCAAATAGGGCTCTGCTCTTTGCCTCTGTCAAGTGCTGTTACTGCGTAGGTTGTGCCTTCTGGAACCTTCAGCTGGGGACACATCTGCTCCCAGGATGTGAGCTTTCTCTTGCCTCAGGGAAGTTATTGCTCCTCGCCTTGAGGCCTTGTCTCAGCACATTCTCCACGTCCTCACCCTATTTTAGGTCAGGGAATCTTCGGTACTATAGGGGAGGGTTGGTTGCTATGGTTTGAATGAGCCTTCCACTCACATAGAGCCCCAACATGGTGCCACGTGCCTCCGCTCAAAGCTCCTCAAGAAGCTAAAGTAGAAAGATCACCTGGAAACAGGAGCTGAAAGCCAGACCTGGCTACATCGGGAGACTCAACCATAGACAAACAAACGTCGTGTTGAAACGCAAGCATTGTGACATCGTTAAAAGCTTTTTAAAGAGATAATCAGGAGACGTTCTCACGCAGAGTCGCCGCGGTTTCCTGCTTCAACGTTGCTTGAACAGAACCCTGCGCTCCACCCCTCCGACCCCAGCCGGCTGCTCCAAGCCAGAACCTTCTGCCCCCTCAGCTGCTCCAGCGTCGCCACCACGCCTTGCCCAGCCGCTGCCATGACCACCGTGCCTCCCTCTCAAGTGCGCCAGAACTACCACCAGGACTCGGAGGCTGCCATCAACCGCCAGATCAACCTGGAACTATATGCCTCCTACGTCTACCTGTCTATGTCTTGCTACTTCGACCGGGATGCTGTGGCTCTGAGGAACTTTGCCAAATATTTTCTCCACCAATCTCATGAGAAGAGAGAACACGCTGAGAAACTGATGAAGCTGCAGAATGAACGAGGCGGCCGAATCTTCCTGCAGGATATCAAGAAACCAGACCGTGATGACTGGGAGAACGGGCTGAACGCAATGGAGTCCTCGCTGCACCTGGAAAAGGGTGCGAATCAGTCACTCCTGCAACTGCACAAACTGGCTACTGACAAAAATGACCGCCACTTGTGTGACTTCATTGAGACGCGTTACCTGAGTGAGCAGGTGAAATCCATCAAGGAACTGGGTGACCACGTGACCAACTTGCGCAAGATGGGAGCCCCTGAAGCTGGCAAGGCAGAATATCTGTTTGATAAGCACACCCTGGGCCACAGTAATGACAGCTAAGCTGACTTCCCCAGAGCCACAGTGACTTTACTGGTCACTGAGGCAGTGCGTGCATGTCGGGCTGCCTTTATCTTTTCTATGAGTCGCACCAAAACATCCGCTTAAGTTTTAATTTGTACCATTTCTTTAAATAAAAAATTTTGGTCCCCCCCCAAAGTTATCCCTTCCTTCCTTCCTTCCTTCCTTCCTTCCTTCCTTCCTTCCTTCCTTCCTTCCTTCCTTCCTTCCTTCCTTCCTTCATTTCTTTGTTTTCTTTCTTTTTTTTTTTTTCTAGGAGGGAATTTGTGAGTTGGTCAGGAGGGAGTGTGGTGCCCTGAATCTTTGCTGCTGTTCTGTCTTCCAGATTTTCTACCATGTGATCAGTCAGCAAGAGGCCATTGGCAGATGCCAGCCCCTTTGCTGGACTTCTCAGCCTTCTGAACTGTGAGCCAATGAATTCTGCTCACTGTCGGCTCCTAGTTTGTGGGATTTTGTTCTAGAGACACAGCTGACTAACACAGGGTTGCCAGCAGCTGTGCACTGGACCAGCGTGTTCTCACTTTTCCTGAGGAGTAATGAGCACGCAATAGCCTAGCGAGTGTGTGTGTATGTATGCGCGTGTGTGTATGAATGAGAGAGACAGAGAAACAGAGGGAGACAGACATAGAGAGAGGCAAAGACAAGGACAGGGACAGAGACAGAGACAGAGAGACGCTTGGAAAAGAAAACATGAAAAAAAAATCAGTATGTATGTCAAAGGGTATCCCAGAGATACAGGAAATTTTGGAGGTATCCTTAAGAGTGACAGACCCTTGCTTGACTCTTGGTGAACTAAGCCCAGGAATTGGGGTGCTGGATGCTCATACTCACAATGACTCAGTGGTTTTCAGGGTCTCCACTGCACAAATTTGAAAAATGAAATGCATGATCCCCAGAGGCTGAATTTTAGGGAGAAATTGAGTATAGATTTCTAGGTGGGAGTTTAAGAGAGCGAGCAGGTGATACCCCTGTACTACAGGAGCAGATCCCTGAGAACAGGGTACCAATGAGGGCTGCTGACTGACTTAGTAAGGCTTGATGAGGTGCAGAGGGAGTATGAACTGGCTAGCTACATTCATACATATTACAAGGTGTCTGGGTACCTCTCAGTTTTACTCACGTTCTTACATATGGTTACCTTTTCATTTAGGAAGAAAAACAAGAAACCAGACCGTACCCCCTTTCTGGCATCCTTGGCCTCTAGGGTAGAGCTAAAGGCATTTTGGCTTAAATACGTTCACTATCTTTGGCCTCCAAGGATGGAGCTGTCAAAGGGGACCAGGACATCTTCAGTGTTTATTGGGGGGTGGTTCACTTTTGGGGTCTTAGCCAGTTTCTATCACCTAATCAGATAGTCAGGGTGCCATTATTGACTTTTGCTGTGCTGGATTTAAATGAAAAATTTAAAAGAGCAACACTTAGGAAAATAATATGGATGCTTTCTGCTCTTAAAAAAAAGAACATACTTGGATTTTCAAAATCATGATTGCTGAATTTTGCTTTTAATTTTTTTGGGTCTCACCAATAAAATGGATCAAAGAGAAGATAAACCATTTGAACTTAAAGAAAACAATCCAAGCCTGGCGGTGGTGGCGAACGCCTTTAATCCCAGCACTCAGGAGGCAGAGGCTGGCTGATCTCTGGGAGTTTGAGGCCAGCCTGGTCTACAAGAGCTAGTTCTGGGAATCCAATACAGACAACAACAAAATATTTAGAAAGTACCAGTGAGAATTCCAAGATAGAAGTGATACTCAGAAATGACTAGATGTGCTGAGCCCTCTGTTTTATTAACTCTAAATTTTAAAAATGCTATTAAAAATGACAACCACAAAGAGACATTAGATAGTATTAAAAAAAACCTGCTGAATTAAATCAGCCTTTATACTTCAAAGATGTGTGGCCTTCAGAATGGAAACCAGGATATGTGTTTATAGGGGAAGAGGTTTGCTTTTGTTTCCACAGGAAAATAAAAGTTATGGATACCATCAAAATTGATAAAGATTAGATTTGATCAGGAGAAACCACTTAATTAGGAGAAGTAATAGTTTATCAAACAGTGTAGCCATTCAACCTGCTAAGAAGAGAAACTCCCCAAAGTTAAGGTTGGGGCAGGGTTTTGTTTTCCTTTCCAGGAAAATAAAAGCATCCAACTAAGAAATCTGATGATCACTGGACAAATGAGACATCTGAAGAAGGACAAATCATCCAGAGAAAATACCCCAAGAAGGAGAGCAGATTGGCCTAATGGTATAGCACAACTCCAATAGGATAAAAGTCTCATAAATGTTTCCAAATATTTGTCTTAACTGTTCTCTACAGACATATAAAACAAATGGTATACTTGTAGTCCCCAACTCAATTAAAATTAAAGCTGGCTTTGGAGTTGGAGCATGGCTCTCTCCTTCTCTAAACCCAAGCATGTTTGTTAAAGGAAAACCCAAAATCTGTCTCATATCAGAAGAGCCACCTGGTATAGGACAGAAGAAATACTAAAACTAGGGACGATTCTGTTGCTACTAATCTTATAATCCTTTGGTTTTATTTTTACTATTTGAAATTTTCCTAAGGTAAAAATATTATCTCAAAATTTATAAGCTTAATGTGTGTGCATGTGTGTGTGTATGCACACATACACATGAAAGTTCTTACTCTATATCATTTTACTATGTCAGAGTTAAAGCTTTTCTTTTTTTCTTTAGACAGAAAAGGGGAAATGCTGTGGGAGAATTGTTTGTACAGCGATTCCATTGTGCCAGTAAAATCACCCTAAATCAAAGAATGGGGTCAGCGATTGGCTGGCTGTGATTAGCCATAGAGTTCTTAGCACCAGCACCATTGCAGGGCCCTGCCCCCAACTCTGTAGGAATCCCACTGCTCTGGCTCACCTCTCCCTGAATTCTTTTCCCTGGGACCCTTCCAGCCCATCCCTGGCCCCTCTGCTAGGCCTTCCCCCTAACCCCAGAAAGCTTCCACTATGCAGGCCTGGGCCATACGAGCCAGAACTGGTGAATGACCTGTTTGCCAGCTGAACTGCTGCCACCTCCTGGATTCTGTTCACCCAAGACCTACATCAGCACCCAGTCTCTCTTGTCTCATCATCTTCCTTACGGCCAACCTTCCTCAGAACTCCGGCAGATTTCATAGGCCCAGACACAGTCTGCACCAGCTGGAAGAACAGAAGCCATAGGCCCATGATCAGTCCACACCACTTGAAAGAACAGCCTCAGCAGCTTTACCACAGGCCAGGTTGATCCTGGGCACCTCAGAAGGCGACTCAGGCCAGGCCAGATCTAGAGACCCAAGGAGACGTTGGCTTTCCTGGAAGCCAGACCAGATCAAAGGGACTCAAGGCCCCTAAAGCACTAGCAGAGACACCCTGCTGGTCCTGAAAACTCACCAGTCACCAAAATCTTTTGCCACTTAGGCCAGAAGACCAGAGAGAAAAAGAGAAACCAAGGAACAAAACACCCATTCAACAAAGACAAACACAGGAATAAACACTTAGACCTATAACCACCCAGAATCCAGATGCCTTAACACCAGTGTAGGAAGACAACCAATAACAGAAAGGGCAATATAGCACCACCAGAACCCAGTTACCCTATGTCAGCAAGACCTGAACATTCCAATGTAGCTGAAGCACAAGAAAATGACCTTAAAAAAACTTTATGAAGATGATGGAGGTCCTTAAAGAGGAAATGAAAAAAAAATCCCTTCAAAAATAAATCTAAACAATCCCTAACATGGCCTAGCGGTGGTGGCGCACGCCTTTAATCCCAGCACTTGGGAGGCAGAGGCAGGCGGATCTCTGGGAGTTCGAGACCAGCCTGGTCTACAAGAGCTAGTTCCAGGACAGGCTCCAAAACCAAAACCACAGAGAAACCCTGTCTCGAAAAAACCAAAAAAAAAAAAAAAAAAAAAAATCCCTAACACAAAACATTTAGGAAGTCTCAGAGGGCAGAGCTAGCTGGTAGCGGGTGGGTAAATCTGGTGGCATTTGGAGCCCAGGTGCCTCTGGAGTTTGGGTGGCAGCCAGAGACTGTTGTGAAGAGGCTAGAACAGGAAAATTCCAGACTCACTCAGAGGGCTTGGAGAAAGAAAGGAAAAGCCTACCAGTGGTGTAGCAGCTGCAAAACCAGGGGCAAGCAGCTATCTTGTGAATTTGCGCCCCACGTTGGAGCCAGATGAAGCCTTAACTAATTATTAGTACTAATATTCATAATTATTATTACAATATTAATTATTAATCAATAAAATAGGGAGTCAGATATTAGGGTAAGAAACTGAAAGATCAGAGAAGCAGGAGAGCAGCCACCAGTCACCTCCGACCTCTTCTGTTCCTTCCTCCAAAAAGGTCAAGATCCTCTCTTAGCCCCACCTTACTACTTCCTGTCTCCTATCTGTCCTCAGTCCTCCAGATCTCTATAGTTAATTTTTTTTTTTTGAGACAGGGTTTCTCTGTGGTTTTGGAGCCTGTCCTGGAACTAGCTCTGTAGACCAGGCTGGTCTCGAACTCACAGAGATCCGCCTTGCCTCTGCCTCTCGAGTGCTGGGATTAAAGGTGTGCGCCACCACTGCCCGGCTCCTCTATAGTTAATTTTGGTTAGCTAGTGACTAGTTCTGCCCTTTGACTTCAAGCAAGCTTTATTTGTCAGAACACAATCAAAATATCACACAACAACCAAACCTAACAATAATAAAAATAGAAGGAGAATTCCTGCTCAAAGGCCCAGAAAATATATTCAACAAAATTGTAGAAGAAAAATTTCCCATCTTGAAGAAGGACATACCTATAAGTACAAGAAGCTTACAAAATACCAAATAGACTGGACTAGAAAAAAGGGTTCCCTTGCCACATAATAATCAAAATGCTAAACATAAATAATAATAAAGGCTTCAAGAGAAAAAGGCCAAGTAACATATATAGGCAGACCTATCAGAATTACACCTGTCTTCTTCATGGACACTCTAAAAGACAGAAGAAGCTGGACAGACCTCTTACAGACGCTAAGAAACCATGGATACCAGCCCAGACTACTATATCCAGCAAAACTTTCAGTAACCATAGGTGGAAAAAACAAGAT